ATCCCAAGGATGAATTGTTTTATTAGGAAAGAAGGGCTCTCAGGCTACAAACTTTACAGCAAGCAAGGCATAGGGAAGCTATGAATGAACAGACCAGGACATTCTTCTTAATGAAAATGCACTTGCTTCTACTTGGATAGAGCTGGTCAGAAATATTTTGACAAGAAGAATGCAGATGGAAAAGTGGGAGCCGATCTATTGAATCCAAAGCTTTCACCAAAACGTGTCTATTTCTAAAGAAAAGATTTCTTTTAGGAAAGGTTTTCAGACCCAGGATAGAATTTCTAGTCAAACTAAGAGCAAGAGACATTCCAATTTCAGAAGAGTTAAGATTATCATAGGACATTCACCTGAGATTCTGGATTCATGCTCATGCTGATTCAAAGCAGGGACTTAAACCCAGGTTTCTAACATCCCAAATGAGTACCTTAATCACCAGTAATTCTTATGGAGTGGGGCTCAATGTCTCTTTCACACATGCTTTTTCTGAACACTTCAGAGGTCTCAGTTTCATCCCTATGTAGGCTGGAAAACCCCCCTGAAATCTCGTAAGTAGGAAAATCACAAAACAGAAAACCGTTTTCTTGCTCAACTGTACAACAGACTACAAAGGATGTAGCTTTTCTTGTAATCCTGTGACTAAGACAACAGCCAAAGAATAGGAGTGTGAAGTGAGAGGTGGTGGGCTAGGACTTTCCTACATTCACACCATTAGTAAGAGACTGGATTTCGTACTCCTGATCTTTACATACTCCAGCTCCACGGAAGCAGAGTATTGTTACAGATATCGCCACTTAGAAATAATTGAGTTCAAAACAAAAGAAATACAGGACAAATTCCCATCATATTACTCATGTGATCAGTTCCATAAATTAAAGCTGCTTATATGAACCAACAGATTTGGTCTTTTATTGAACTTTTCAGTATCCTTGTGGTCTTAGAGGTATTTCAAAATGAGTATGACCATCACTTTTATTTCTACATGATAAGGTTTTTCATACCTCAAAAGGTTTTGCTTGTATTGTATTAAATACTTATTATGTAATGAGTGTATATGAAAATGGGAAGGCAATTATCATACGTGTAGAACCACTTCAAGTAAAGGCCTAAACATAGATGACAGGTCTATTGTGTGAGAGAAGGAATGCTGGGTATTCTCAAGACAGTGCTATTAGACTTTGGTAGTGCTGGACTGATGTTGTATTAGGTTTTTTCGTTTTCACCTGTCCAGGCCCTAAAATGGATTGTATTTTAAGGCTAAATTCTGCCCCTTACTCTTACAATAGTAATAGTACAGTTTTGTGGTGACTAATGGGTCTCAGAATTGTGCTTTAATGTCTCGTTCTACAATACCCCTCATTCCAAAGGAGATGCTAGAATTTAAACATAATATTTAGATTACAAATACCCTGCATGCACATTTTGGGTGTAGTCCCTGGTCAGATATAATCCAACTGGATCCAGAGTTTTGCCTGAGTAAGGACTACAGCATTTATTTATCTGAGAAGCCAGGCTAGTTAATTTTTCAGGTTTGGGGAAAAAGTGGACATAGCTTGAGCTAAATAACTGATAGGACAATGATAGAACAGTGGCTTGTGTATAACACCATGTGTAAATTACTGTAAATGTATTTATAGTGGCATTATGCTTACATGGTATCTATAGCATGTTGTTATCATATTAGCTGTAATATTGAATTAACAGAATATAAAAATAATCCATTAAATATTTTAACACAAATTCTTTAATAAAGTAAGTTCAAGCCTGTTCCTGATCCCATGGAATAAATGGCAAAAATTCCTATCAACATCAATGGGAACTAGAACTAGCTTTGGTATTATTTCTAGAGAAGGATGAACTTATTTCTTCAGAAAGACTGCCTCTTGACTGGAAAGCAGACGTTTACCTCTGCAAAAACTACCATATTCATTTCTACAAGAAACAATTATGTGATTTAGAGTCTTGAGGAAGTAATCCTTTCTCTGTATGTGGTAGTCTTCAAGTCACAGTATTTTGACTTCTGACCTATATAGTAATTATGTGTGCAACACTGATCTGCCATTTTAGTACCTATTTATATATCGTGCTCTTAAAGAGCTGTTTGCTTCTGTTCCCTCTCAGCTACCAGGCAAATGTGATGATAAAGCCTTGGAGAGCTGCACTGTGGGTTTCTGACCCATTTTAAACAAACTTCAGTCTTCGTATGGTTCCTGCTGAAATACTGTGGTTGGGAACCTGTGTGGAAATGGGAATGCCAAGCTTCAGAGTACATCATGTCCTATAAGGAAAGTGAGGGTCCTTCTATTATCCTGGGTATTACAGAAATAAAGTGAACAGCACAAAATGGCTAACAGAGGGGAAATGTTCAGGTAATAAATTCACTCCCTTTCCTTTGGAACTAGTTTACTACAGGCACATTTAGCTACAAGAGAAGGCCTCTCTGAAAGAGTGATTGACCAGCTTATAGGGCTGATTGATCTGTCACTTATTTCACAGAATCATAGACTTATAGAAACTTAGGGTTGGAAGGGACCTCAGGAGAGCATCTAGTCCAATGCTCTGCTCAAAGCAGGATCATCTTTGAGCAGATCATTCCAGCCAGGGCTTTGTCAAGCTGGGCCTTAAAAACCTCCAAGGATGGAGATTCCACCACACCTCTCTAGGTAACTTGTTCCAATGCTTCACCACCTTCCTAGTAAGAATTTTTTTCCTAATACGTTACTTAAACCTCTCTTGTTGCAACTTGAGACCACTGCTCCTTATTCTGACATCTGTCACCACTGAGAACAGCCCAGCTCCATCCTCTTTGGAAGTCCCCTTCAGGTAGTTACAGGCTGCTGTTAAATCCCCCTTCAGTCTTCTCTTCTGCAGACTAAAAAAGCCCAGTTCCTTCAGCCTCCCCTCATAAGTCATGTGCTCCAGCCCCTGAACCATTTTTGTTGCCCTCTGCTGGACTCTCTCCACCTTTTCCATATCCTTTCTGTAGTGGGGGGCCCAAAACTGAACACAGTCCTCCAGATGTAGCCTCACCAGTGCAGAATAAAGGGAAATAATCAATCACTTCCCTCCATCTGCTGGCAGCTTCCTACTTATGCAGCCCAGTGTGTGGTTATGCTTCTTGGCAACAAGGGCACATTGAATTTGTTCTCTGCTCTTCTGAAATAAAAGAGCATTTGTATGCTTCTGAACCTCACTCTTGGTCTTTGATGCTACTTCCAGATGCCCCGATGGACAAAGCCCCTGTCCCTTCTTCCACCAACACTCACAGATGACAGCACTGAGTGTTTCATCCTCCTGGAGGTGGATTCAGGAGCTCAGGGGTGTTCCTGTCACAGCTCTGGCTCCCAAAACCCAGGCTGCTGCAGTACAAAAATAAATCAGCTGTCCTTCAGGGTGCATCTACACATGCATGAATGTGCTTTTCCTAATGCACACTAAATTTAGTACCTCCGATGTGAGGGCATTACCACACATACCTTTTAGTCCCGCAATGCACTGCAAACCTGTTGCTTCAGAGACTTGATTAACTGAGCCTGCTCCGCATGCAAGGTGACGTGCAGTGCTACGTGCAGTTGTGTAAATGGTGAAATGCACATCAGCGCTGAGAAAATGGAGGCGGCAGTGCGCTTTTGAACTAAAACACCTTCTATGTCTTGTAGTTCAAAAGCGTGGCCCTTTTCCCAGCGCTGACGCCCCTTTTGCCGCTCATCCAACTCCAAGCCACGCAGCGCCAGGTGCTTGCATGTGTAAAAATGCCCTGAGGTACTCACTACATGAGTATTAGGCTAATGCGCAGGACGGGAAGTGAAGGTTTCTTAAGTGATGCTTAATCCGCAGTAGCCTCTTTTACTGCACAGTAGCCTAATTGCACGGATGTTCACTGACACGTTCATACGCAGTAAAAGAGGCTAGTGCGCATTAAAACACACGTGTAGATGCGCCATCAGGGAGCTTCACATGCCTCATTTCCCCGGCCCCGCGCCAGGCAAGGGGCGCGACACCCGCCCCGCCGGCATGGGCGAGGGGCAGGGAAGCCAGGCTACAAAGCCCGGCTCCTTGGGTGAGGGAGGCCGGGGAGAGAACAACCCGCCCCTGCTGCCTCTGCAGCTCGGGAGAGGCGTCGCGCCAGGCGGGAAGGGAAGGGGGGTCCCCGGTGGGGCGCGGGGGCGCTGCCCGCGGCCACCTTAAGAGCCGACCCGAGGAGGGGCGGGGCGGGGCGGGGCGGCGCTGGCGGGAGCGGGAGCGGGAGCAGGAGCGGGGGTGCGCTCCGGGCGCAGCAGGTAGCGGCACGTGTCGGCGGGCCGGGGCTGGGCGGGATGCCCCGCGGAGGCAGCCTG